GCCAAGCCTATTCAGATGTATCGATTATATGACTATGTTATATAAGCTGTTGGGGGTACCCCTCGTCAAATTTCACAGAAAAATGAAATAGCAAAGATTTTTCTCTTGACCAACGATGCAGTAGTACATGCAAAAGCAGAAATATGGATAATTTAATAATATATTTTACAATATGATGAGCGAGAGGATATTTCCTAATTTAAGATGTACAAATTTTTTCTTGATTTAGCAACCTAACCATTTGAGTAATGATGTTAATTGATTTTGAAGATAGATTCCGAAGATCATCTAGGAGTCCAGCTTGAGCCAATCCATTTTCTAATAGATGTTCCAAAAGGCTCTCCGCCACAGCAATTTCATTAGAAGCACCGGGATCTCTGGAGGGACTCTTTGCAATAACTTTATGTAAATGGATAACCAAGTCATGGCATGGATTTAACTCTAAAATTGGCTCTAGAATAAGATTGCGCTCTTCAGCCGATCGATCGACAAGGGTGGTCCTTAGAAAATGACGCATAGCACCGGCTTCACGGACGGTCACCAAACAGGGATGATTTGTCAAACGAGAAGTTATCTGAATGGGAATAGAGAAATAATCAGACTGAGACCAAATGTAAATTTAATCTCCTAAAGGTAAATTTGATTTATTTCGTATGAAATTGATGATGAACTCGGAACGGTAAAAGCAATATCAAATTAATTTGAAAAGGAAAGTAAAAATAAAATATAGACAAGGTTATTACCTACTAGATGCAACCATCAAGATTATGATAGGAGCTATCAAAGCAGGGATGGTATCGCAATTGTATATTGGTATATAGCGGTGGGTTAAGCTTGTTTTCCCAACAAGATATAAGCCTCTAAAGAGCCAAAGCTTGGTGTTAAGAGAAACGAAGCTTATTGAGTGTCGGAGAGATACCTCAGCTCACAATCTGACGCCGGAAATTGTCGTGCCTCTTTGGAAAAGAACTCTGGACAATGTGCCACCATGACAACACTACCAAATTGAGTAAGCGAGGTCAAATAAGTTCTATCAAGATTTAAGTTGACAGAAATTAGCTATATATGCAGAATTATGAACTTAGTGGTTCACATAACATAGAGATAGATAGTAATCAATGAAGATCATTATAGCAAACTCATAACATAGGATGCTAGGTTCTAGATAAAAAAGTTAAAACTGAGAACATCAATTAATTAGAAAATATAACTGTAAGACATTTCCTTTATTTAATTAAATTATTTTGATACGGATTTGAGTTCTCAATGTTCTTATAATTGAATAGGATACACACATGCATGTCTGTGTGCTGCTGGCAGGTT